ATAAATCGCAACTAACTAAGCACTATAATTACTTGGTATGAACCCTTGAGGATGACAAAGGGTCAGCCCAACGTTGGTGGGCTGATTGGCCCAACGCGGGCTTGCTTAAAACCGAGAACCACAGCCATGATGACAGATTGGTGGCGTGAGTGTGAATGTGAGTATGGGCGTGGATGTGAGTCTGAGTGTGAGTGTGGGTGTGTGTGTGTGTGCGTGCGCATGCGCATGTGCGTGTGAGTGTGAGTGTGCGCGCGCGGGTGTGTGTGTGTGTGTGTATGCATGTCCTTGGGTAGGGCAGGTTGGATGGTAAATAATTATTCTGTAGGTGGGTATGGGCGTTGGTAGTGACATAAGGCATACGTATGCAATGGTGTGTGCATGCGCCAATATGAAACTGAACATGCTAAGACTTCTGATTGCCTGAATCACCAGTTGCAGCACAGCCCATCAAAGTTAAATCAAAAGTCAATAGGTGAAGCACTGAACCAAACATCAAAGCCATAGGAACCAGCCCCGGTTGCATCGAACTACTGGGCCCAGCTGCCACTCTGGGTCACACTTCATTGCATGGAAATCTGGTGGGTTAAAGGCCGTGGAAGCATGCTATCGAACATACCGAAACATCAATGTTGGACATGACTAACTACATGAACACATATGAACACCACACTGGGCACATATTGCAATTAAAATGCGTCCCAGATTCCTACAATAAGGACAACAGGCTTGGTGACCTGCAAACATCTAACGTGAAAGAAAACAAAACAATCCAGTTTAGATGGCCCTCGTCCCAGGGATGGTTTTGCCAGCTGGTCTGTGAAACGACTTGTTGCACTTGTTGCAGATTCGCTACCAGGCTCCTCATCCCTGTGTTCAGGCCCACCATGATGGTCCAAAAATTAACTGACTTTTTGACATAATTCTTTCATGCGCTTTCTGGCCTTCACGCTGTAATCCTTATGTGTTTTTATTTTTTTTGCACAGAAGCAACAAGTCATGCTCACAGAAAACGCAAATGCGCAAATTAATTTGAACAACTGCTAGCTGTTCCCAAGGCCATACATGCCACGCTTGGCCTCAAGCACAGGTGCGCATGGTGTTTTGATAGGCGATCGAAACTTTGTGCCCAGAAAATCAATTTAGGTTTTGCCTGACTAAAAACTAGAGTTTGGCACCCAGTTGGAACAACTTTTTCTTTTTCTTCTTCATCGGTCTTCTTCAACAAAAAATGACGACGAGGACGGCGACGGCGACGACGACGACGATGACGACGACGTCGACTCTAACAACCACAACATCAACAACATCATCATCAACAAAAACAAAAAATGATACATCCAATACATCCAAGCTTTTGTGGCAAACTCGACCGGTTTCAGAAATTTTATGCCAATCCTAAAAATATGGTCAGCTGACATCTTCCATTACAAGCAAGAGGCTACATACGCCCTGAGAAGAGGGTGGTTGCGTCATATTAATTCATATTACTCAAAACCTGTGGGTCACTGAATCAGACGGGGGGCTGGTCACAGAAAAGGCCTGTCTTGGTTACAATGAATGTTGCCAGTGGATTGTCTGGCGGATTGCATCCACAAGTTTTTGGCAGGAGAACCACATTCTGTGACCACGACAAATATCGCCTGCTTCCAACCTATCGAACTCTCTTTCTCAATGCATACGATTCAAGCGAAAGAACACACATGAATATGAAATACGACCTTCCCACAGTCAAGAACATACAAATCGTTTTTCTTTTAAGCATGCTTTTTAATATCTTTTAATGAGCCTGTTTTCCCCTCAAAAGATCGCTTCATCGTTTCCTTCCGGATCCCAGCAACATGCGTCACACAAGCTCTTCGGGCACTGGCTCGTTGACGCCACCTCAGCCGCTTGGATCACCCTTTCGATAGGGAACATGCCGGAAAATATGTGCCAAAACTTGGGGGGCGAATTAAATTTGGCAATGGGTAATCCAATCACATATGTCATATATGGAGTATAGAACACACATCAAATCGCGTTAAAGTGTTGTTGCGACCCTCTTACCACGTGGGGTCCTGCACATCGAAGAAAAACATGGAAGCATGCGAAATATGAAATGGCAGAAATTGATGTATTATAGGATGGAAGTAACAGTACATTTGGAGCTCGGAATTCATGGGCATTTCCGACCACAAGTATGCGGATGGAACAATATTTGACGTCAAGGTACAAGACCAGAAACAATTCCAACAAAAATCCCGGCAAATGGTGCATGATTCTGGGAAACGATCTGAACATTTCCAAGAAAACATGAACTCTTTAGCTTCCCATTGTGCAGGCAAGGTAAGCAAAGCTACAACTTCAGCTCGCTACTTGCTGCAAAAGCAGAGGTGCTGCACAACTTTGACCAATCACGGCTTCACGGCTAGCCAGATCATCATTAGGGAGGGAGGACGCATCAACATGAAACCCCATGCACTCCCTTGTGCTTCCCACCTCCCACGTGTGCAAAAGCCACTGAAAATTGGTTAGGCTTGGGTTTTGCCTTTTTCTTGACTTCTGAGTTCATTTGCATGAACTATACATTCTCAGCCAAGATATCCAGCTGGCAAGGCATGGAACTGGCTGTTAATCTTGTGCGCCTTGACCAGAAGAAACCTGTTTGGCTATCGTACCCTGACTCAACTTGTTATTCCCCTATAGGGGCTGTATCTCCAGTAAACATACTATTTTTATCTTTCGAGCAGTGGTTCCTTCGCATCTCTAGAACTAAGTAGAGCTCATCGCTGATCTATCTTGAGGAGCTATCAATCAATTCTTCGTGATGGCCTGAACAAATCTGACATGTCAAATCTGTTGATTGTGAAATATTGTGAAATACCTTGTCTGATTGGAATGAAATCACCATTTCTGCTAGTTATACCCACGTTCTTTTTGAGATTCTGATTGTTATATGCCACAGCTAGGGTTCCACATGTTTGATGGTTAAATCAAATTATATTTTTAACAACCAATTTTATTTTGCACATCCTTGACGGTTAAAATCATCCCTTGTGCCGGCAAAACCCAAACTTTTCCAAGTGTTTGTTGGTTAAATCATTTTGTTGCCGACTGTCAATGCTGAAATCCACAGCTTTGTTGGTTTCATCAACGCGTCACATTCCCAGCCCCCGCCCCAATTCGGCCCAAGGTGCTGAGATCGAAGTTGGACGCCTCGGGGTCCTCTGCGGGTGGCACTTTATCGGCGGTCACGGAGTCGGTGAGAAGATGGACGCAACGGCAGATGGGGCACTGAATCCTGGGATATGCTGGAATTCGGTGTAGAAGGACAGTATGGGTTTCCACAGAAAATTTAAGGGTTCATGCTTTTTTTCCTTCACCCAGATTTGCAAACGAGTTGGGTAATGCTTCTCTGGAAACATGAATGTGGGGTTTTCATGTGGTATTATAATGCAAACGTTGGAACATGATGGCAATATAGAGCCAGGAGCCGCAAGAAACAAGATAGAGCCAGCGGAAATGGAGGGGGAAGGTGAGGAAGAAAAGGGATGCCTTATGCAAACATAGATTGGCATAGATCGGCATAGATCATATGATGATAATGGATCCTCTTACACCCAAAAGATGTAGCATGTTTTCAAGTCATCACCAAGAAAAATATGACATGAGATGACAAAAGCTGTCTGTAACGTTGTGATATGCAAGTCCACTACCAGCAAAGGAATGCTGGGGCATGTAAATACATATGGCTGGAAAAGCAATAGGCAGTATACGCACAGGATGGATCCCCACGTTCGTGCGGGCTTCATCGCCACGGTTCGCCATTTGCATTCTAAACAAACATGGCGGCAATTCAAAGCACATGTTTGCAAGATACCAAGAAGAAAAAAGAAGTACATGGGCACCACATGATAGCCTATAATGTGATATGTCAGAGGTTGGTCTCACTGTCTATCCAAAAAATCTTGATTGGCTGTTTGTTGACTACGTAATATATATATATATATACCCTGAGGGTCCACGACCTTTGAAAGAAAGGTGGTTATAGAACCCCCTTTGTTTGCACTTTATTGTTTGATCATTGGAGCTGGTAGTATTTAAGAACCGGCGCACCTCTAGGAGCAAAAAACGATGTAGTCGACGGCGGCCGTATTGATCCATTTGTGGGGACTCCAGTGGGACTGTTTTATAAGTCGATCTTTTCTGACTGCCATGTTCACACAGAACCTTTTGGAAGCTTTGCGTGTGATTTCCATGGAGCTCCAAAAGCTCATTGAAGAGTTGAATTTTTGCCCCAATAATTCAAAATATTCAAAATCAGATTTGTGACCACAAAGCCCTATTTAGCCTGCCGCGCAATGGTTTCAACTTACACTTGAACTTGAACAGCTAAACTTTGAAACCGAAGTAAACTATTGGTGACAATTTGCCGACAAACAGCAAGCATGGTTGGATTTGTTGTAAAAGCCAATGGGGGCCCAGCAGGACGAACACGAAAAGAGTCAGATACATCTAAAAATAATCCAAACATGTTTTTGTCAGGCAATAGTAGTAGCATGGTTTTGTTTCTGTTTGATGCGTGTATGTGGAGCGGCATGTTGAGGCCCAGAGATTTCAACCTTTTTCTTTTGCACGGAAGTTGCGTGGTGTAAACATCAAATATCACAACCATCCTGCTGGTACTTGCAAAATCTTGCAAACCATGGACGCACAAACCCAAACTTGTTGTTTGTGACAATCATCAAGAGATATCCTGAGCCAAAGCGCAGTCAAATATACTAATGATAAACCCGTATTGAGGCTGCAGTTTCAAAACTGTAGGCCGTCTACGTTGTTGCTCAGTGATGTGGCAATAGGATGCAAAAGGCTCATTGGGTCGAACTTGATTCTACTGAGTTGGTTTGCCGGTGTTGTAGCAATGAAGTTTTCTCTAAAGCAATTTGCGCCTTATCTTTTGAGTTCTGGGGCCGACTTTTAATTTTCCACCGACTCTTCATTTTCGAGAATATAAACATGTATATGAATAGCAAACGTGTTGTAGCAAACAATATCACGCATCCAGTCACATGTCTTCGTGAGATCTCTTTGCTCTTAATGTGCGTGGCTCTTAGTGTGTTGTTCTCTATGTGGTCTCCAATCATGATGCCTCATCTTGCAATAGTAAGTTTCAGTATTCACCACCTTCTGTGCAAATTGGATAATGTCCTACCTACTCTTGACCTTATCTCTTTCTCTAGGTTGTTGTTTGTACTCATTTGCCGGTTTACCTTTAGATACCACGGCAGAATGCCTCTTCGAGATTGACTTTTGAAACCCGACCTGGCCCGCACATGTGCTTTAGGGATGCTGTTTTTTTGTTGTTGCTTTCGTCTCTGCCCAAAGACTTGCAGCTAGGCAGTTGCCAACAGAAAAACATTGATCGATGTTACAAAAAATCTAAAGCAGCAATTGATACAATACCGTCATTTTTCTTGCAAATGTTGTCCAGCACTGCAATGAAGCCTACAGATATACAGTGTGCACACCTAAAAAGCCAACAGCGTGAAACTTGTGTGAAACTTGAGTGAAACCCCTTTTTTTGGCTTGAACCCCTATTAAATGGCGTGAACCCCCATTACCCCAAAACGGTCATATTTTTGTCAGTGCAGTTGCGGGTTCAGTTTCACAATTCTGGGTTTCTATGCTAAGAATGTGGCTGGTGTAAGAGTTTGGCAAATTCATGGCTGGATCCATACCTAAAGAACAAATTCCAGTAGAGCTAGGAGAACAAACATAGAAGCCCAAATGTACACGTACAAATTCATAGCATAGTTTTGTTTCGGGAGGGATGTCTGCGTCTGCACAACCGACAATTCAACCCACTATGAAGTGCACGTATATGTGTGTATATCATAATGCAAGCTGGCCCAAATCTACCTGATGGGTGCTTGCGGGCTTTCTATGCCTTCAACCATTTTTCAAAGAATCCGCTGCATCTACTATCTACCAGCAAGGCAAGCAAAGAAAAAAACAAGACGTACGCAGAGAATACGTTCAACATCTTTGACCAACAAAATGCAAGCGCTGCTGGACTCCTAGACCAGGCCCTCTGTATCAGGCTTCGTGCATTGTAAGTAGGAGAGATGTTGTCTCCTGACAAAACATATCACATCATCTCTGAACTAGCCAACCGCCGCGTTGCATTGTTTCATTTATTGAATGGGTGTTGGGATGCGAAGAAACATTCGACGAATGGGCAAATTGTTTGCCTGATGCTCTGATTTGTTTGTTTTGCTCTTCTTGCCACTGTTTATATTAATATTGTTTGAAATATGGCTCACAGAGAGGGGGAGAGGGAAGACAGAACAAATTCAACAAATCACACACACTAGACAAAATTGGATCTTTGAAGAGATCCATCAGAAACTGAGTCCTGTAACGTGCAACCAGCCTAGACAATTCCTACAGTAGATCTCGTGGTTGTACTTCGCGAGAACGATGAGGGTTTTCCGAAAAAATCAAAAATTTTGCAGGTACAAGTGGTTGATCAGGCCACTCATCCACCGAAATGCCATAGCTTCGCTGGACTGGATAGGCAAATCGGCTCCAGTCCCCCTGCAATATTAGAAGGGGAGAAGAAAGAAATAAGAAAAAAGGAAGAAGTTTTACATCTATTTAGATGTTACACACACACACACCCGGCCGGAGCCGGGACAACCCTGAAAGGCAAGAGGAAGAAAAAAACCGGACACAGACGACGGGCAAAAGGCCAAAACAGCGCAGGGGGGGGAAGGGAACGAATGGACCTGCAGAACCAACCTACGCGGCGAAACGGACCTGACAGAAACAGAGCACACATCTAAACCCCACGACACATTACGGACAGGCACGGGGGGAGAGAATTAGGGACCAAATGGGGGACTAGTTGGTGACGAGTGTGAAACAACCAAAACAATTAACCTAAACAAGGGCCCAGTTCCGCCTACACTAGAGGTCGTGCGTTATTCCCCTTCGGGACCGTGGTCAAGTCGTGCCGCAATGGCATAAACAGCTGTTCAAGTTCCAACGAATTGGGTGCACGATATGCTCAACCTCACCGGAAACCATCAAAAGAAAGAAAGACCACACCTGGAAAGCATGTGCCTGCCTTTGCTGTTCAAATGTCACTTCAAAAGCTGCGCAAATGGAAAAGAAACAGTTTCTGCAGTTCCGAGCAATCTCACTTCGGCGAAGGTGCAGGTTCAGAAGGATCTCAAGAGACAACCGGACCAGCGGGACTTCGCAAAAAGGTGCATAACCGAAAGGCCAACTGTTTCGCTTTACTTAAACAAATTACTAATTTAAAGTGTCAATTCCGATGTCAGGTTCGTCCACAGTCACCCGCAAAGGAGTTGCCTCAAGTGGCTCCATGGCACCATGTCGGAGTCACCATGGATATTACACTATAGACAAAATTGGATCTTTGAAGAGATCCATCAGGAACTGAGTCCTGTAACGTGCAACCAGCCTAGACAATTAGACCTAAAGTAGATCTCCTGGTTGTACTTCGCGAGAACGATGAAGGTTTTCCGAAAAAATCAAAAATTTTGCAGGTACAAGTGGTTGATCAGACCACTCATCCACCGAAATGCCATAGCTTCGCTGGACTGGATAGGCAAATCGGCTCCAGTCCCCCTGCGCTATTAGAAGGGGAGAAGAAAGAAATAAGAAAAAAGGAAGAAGTTTTACATCTATTTAGATGCTACACACACATGATTGGCTGACCTTGTATATAAGGATATGTTTGGCCAAGTTTGTTTGTGACAGCAAATTTATTGCAAGTTCTGAGCCAAATGAAGCTTAGAATTGACACATTCACATGAAATACAGCAGGTCAAATATTGTTTGGAGCACAGTGTCATTGCTAAAGAGGTCGCAGGTCTCCACTCCTGTCTCAGTACAGTACCCTCGGGCAAAGCAAAATGCACAGAGTAAGCGAGAAGATGTGGCAATTGTAAAAGAACATATTTGCATATGGTGCTCGCATGTGACAGAATCTGGGGCACAGTGCGTTGCGGCATGTTTCGCAACATTGCAAGGTCCAAACTTGTTGTTAATAGCTTTGTTTATACAGTGCAAATCTTGCATCTAATCAGTACTTCCAACTAGAGCGTGTTGACATTCCATTCCCACCATCCAAATCCACAACAGAATAAATTGATGATGCCTACATGCCTGTGTCTGGAAGCAACGGATTTTTCAAAGGGGGGTGCTCCTGTTAGTAGTTTGCATGCTTTCAGAACTCTCAAGTTGCTGTTCAATCAAATATTTGAATGTTTTCTGAAGTCTTTGCTGCTTTCACGCTTACTTTTCGACATTCGCTCTTTATCCGCCCGTGAAAGAGCAAGTGGAGTCTTGAATCTTCTCTTTGTTTTTTGCTCCCCTGTGAATCACTTCGGCTCTACCAGTTTGAAAAATGGCATTTACTCGACCAAAGCAAAACGGGTGAGCACACAAGAAAATGAACCACTCGCTAGAATAGTATTTTGGGCCTAACAAAACAAGGGGGTTCTACTAAACCCCTTTGTTTCACAGGTGGTTGGAATCCTAGGGTATATATAATATGTGTATATATATATGCATGAATGTGTGTATGGTATGGTAAGGTATGGCATGGCATGGTTTCTATTGTATTGCATTTGTAATTGCAATAATAGCTGTAATTGTATTGTGATTTCATTGCCTTGTATTGCAATGTACTGTATTGTAGCGTAATGTAATGTAATGTGTAATGTAAATAGATAGATAGATAGATAGATAGATAGATAGATAGATAGATATTAATAATATATATATATGTGTGTGTGTGTAAGACATACACAGTACAATAGAATATAAATATAAATATATATATATATAATACAGAAATCATAAAACTATTTAGAGGAAAAACATACTGTGTATTAAATGCGTGATTTTTGATAAACAACATATATAGCTTAGGGGTTTCCTGTAACACTAACTCTTTATACCTAAAAACACCCCTTAGCGAGGTATATAGTAACCGCTTAGTAGTGGTATACTAACCCCTTAGCGGTGGTAAAAACACCTCTTAAGTGGTCATAGCTAAGGGATGTTTTTGATATAAAAACACACCTTAAGTGGTCAAAAACAGCCCTTAGCTAAGGTGTGTTTTTGCGGTAAAAACACCCCTTAAGTGGTCAAAAGCACCCCTTAGCTAAGGGGTGTTTTTGAGGTAAAAACACCCCTTAAGTGGTCAAAAGCACCCCTTCGCCAAGGGGTGTTTTGGAGGTAAAAACACTCCTTAAGTGGTCAAAAACACCCCTTAGTGAAGTGGTGTTTTTTGAGGTAAAAACACACCTTAAGTGGTTAGAAACATCGCTCGTTCTTGAGGTACAAACAATCCCTTTTTGATCAAAACTTGAGTCTTTTCTCGTTTGTTGACATCATCATGTGTCAAACATCTTTGATTCCTATCTTGGATTGTGACATACATTGTCAATTCTGATGTCTTCAGGAATCGGTTTTGGTGTACTTTGGGGTCCCAAAATTGCCCAAAAACACCCCTTAGCTAAGGGGTGTTTTTTGCTTAAAACTCACATTGATTTAGATCAAACACAGTGAATGAAAACAGCTTTGTTTGAGACCCTAAGCGGCAACTCTTTGAGTTAAAAACAATTTGTTCCTGACAACATGGGGGTGTTTTTAGAAAACATCTGAGGAATGTTTTTGGACATACTAAGGGGTGTTTTTAGCGACATATAAGGGGTGTTTTTAGCAACATCTAAGGGGTGTTTTTGGGACACAATAAGGGTTGTTTTTGGACATACTAAGGGGTGTTTTTAGCGACATCTAAGGAGTGTTTTTGGGACACAATGAGGGGTGTTTTTGGACATACTAAGGGGTGTTTTTAGCGACATCTAAGGGGTGTTTTTAGCAACATCTAAGGGGTGTTTTTGGGACACAATGAGGGGTGTTTTTGGACATACTAAGGGGTTTTTTTAGCGACATCTAAGGGGTGTTTTGAGCAATACCTAAGGGGTATTTTAAATGTACTAGGTACATGTGCACTACCTGGGGTACAGCCTATAAAGAGAGTACCCAAGTTAGTGTTAGAGGCAACCCCTAATATACAGCCACTAAATAGATATCCCCTAAACTTTTGCAGCACCAATTGCCTGCATGTTTTGAGCTATGCGACATCTCTGAAGATTTTGCACCCTCCTGGGACGTGGTAACACCAAGGTGTTGAGCTGCAGAAAGGGAGGTGGCACAAAATGGTCTGGAGTTGGAAAAAGATTGGCTCGCATATGCATACCCTCATTTGTATAATATTAAATTTCACCTGCGGATTCAAATGTATCTTCAAACCCATATTGAACGAAATAACGGGTGGGTCATACACGCAACCCCCTCATGGCTTGGGATACCATAATAGCGTATGTTTCTGAACAATGTTTGAAAACTGTGTAGAAACATGTCTTTTTTGCCGGTCGAAGGTGCGATCCCCGACTGTTTCCAACCGTTTCCCCTTGGACACCTTTAGACATTCAAAAAAAAACGGCGTTGCGCGGAAATGCCTATTTCAAAAAAAATGCGGGTTGGACAAGTTTTGGCCTGATCATGTTTCCGACCGTTTCCGACCGTTTCCGACCGTTTCCGACTGTTTCCGACCGTTTCCGACCGTTTCATTTTTTTTGAACGATTAATTGGACCAATTCCATTTATGGAAGGCTGATCCAGTGCAAACCCGTGCGAACCATGACGCTTAAGTTTTTTGGTGCCACCCTTGTGTGCGTACACTGCACCAAATATTGCATCTTGACCTTGATATCCAATATTCCCTAAAAATCACAAAATCCCAGGAGCTCGTGAAATCTAATAGCTTGGGAAACTTTTCAGGGAACAGAGGATTTCTTGTGCTCACACATGCACAAGGAAAGGTCGAACAGACCAATGCAAACATCAGTCGCTAAACTTGATGCCTGCAAATTTGGTGGTAACCTCATCAAAAGGGACGTTATTTTTGTGCATCCATGCGCCATATGAAGCTCCTGGTCACCGATCCCAGTTTCAGGGTTCATCTCAATACGTTTTGCGGAAGCCCGATGCAAGCAAAGCCCCCCGCAACATTTTTCTCAGCAATTCCTCAAAGGATCCACGCTGGATTTCATGTGGTCTTGGCATGCCTTAAGCATAGCCTGAATGAAACGACAAGATATGGTGAAATAAATGAAGGTCCGTGAGGCATCAAGTGGACAAAGATGCTGTTTGCGCAAGGCCAAGCAATGGTTTCCTGACGCACCCCTTGAGCGCAAAGAGTGCCTCCAACCAGGACGAAAGCTTGACCATGCACTAGATCTGGCAAAAAAGCAGCAACAAGCTCGTGGCACCAATAGTTGAAAATCAGACTCCTTGCTGTCCCAGCAGTCATTGTCCTGGAGGTGGTGGTCCCAGTGGTCATCGTCCTCGACGTTTTGGTCGTTGTCATGGAGGTCATTGTCCTGGGCATTGCAGTTGACGTTGTGAACTGCCGGTCAAAGAAATGGAGCTCGTTCCTGTAGCCACCGCTTAGCCCACCAAAGACGTAGAAACCGTCGGCCTCAGGCCTCAGGTGCCCATACCGCTGTGTGCCCCTCGCGAGAGCCGGGTGCCGTGCCGGCTGGAGTCACATCGCTCCACTGGTTGGCCTTACGGTCGTAGAAATGCAGATCGTCCATCAATCTGCGGTCCTTCCCTGCGAAAACGTAGAAGCCGTCAGCCCCAGGTGCCCACACCGCCGCGTGATACATGCGCCCTGCGGGCGCTGTGCCGGCTGCAGTCACTTCGGTCCACTGGTTGGCCTGGCGGTCGTAAAAATGCAGCTCATTCCTGTAGCCATTGCTTTGGCCACCAAAAACGTAGAAACCGTCGGCCTCAGGTGCCCATACCGCTGTGTGCTCCTCGCGAGTGCGGTCGTAGAAATGCAGATCGTCCATCAATCTGCGGTCCTTCCCTGCGGAAACGTAGATGCCGTCAGCCCCAGGTGCCCACACCGCCGCGTGATACATGCGCCCTGCGGGTGCCGTGCTGGCTGGGGTCACTTCGATCCACCAGTTCGCCGCCGCCTCCATGGCCGCAAAAAGGATCGAGGCAGCGATAACAGCAGCAGATCTTGTCATGGTCCTGGAACATGTGTTGGGCGTCTTGAAATTGAGCCAATGGCCGGGAAATATTGTGCGCCAGGGCACTTCAATTTGCAAAAAAAAACCATCTGCACCTACCCGTTACCACCCTAGACATTCGGAAAAGGAATGCATCATTTCGTTGAAGTTCAATTGAGATTGCTAGAGTTTATCTCGAAAAATCATGTACTGAACACAACGGATGCCAAGAACACAACAAACAACAACCAAAGAATGAAACTTAAAACTTAATCCCCCTGCACATTTACCCACCTGACCCAAGGCAACCATTTTGTAAGGGACCCAGGAGTTAACCTTACAAACATCCATGGTTAGGTATTTACAAAATGGGCTGGACACCAGTTGGTGTGATTCCCCAGCAAACACCGGTGAACCCCCAAAAAAATCAAAAATCGGCTCCTTACAAAATGGTTGCCCCAAGTTAATTTCCAGGCCCCAAACCCAATCATCTTATAAGCTTGTGTCTTAAAAAATGGTTTGTTTGGAAACATGTCTTACTTGTACAAGCCCAACTTTCCCCAGGGAACCCCGCAATTTTTTCCCAGTCCCCAAAGTTTGGAAAAAATCCCAGAATGTTTGATATCACCTTTTCTGGTTGGTTGACTTAGTGGTGTCTTGCCGGTTCTTCACACATCAATGGTGGAACCCAAAAAAATTAGAGAAGAAACCCTGGTTCCTGAACATGGACAAGATTTCAATACCCTTCTGTGCACTGCCTGAAATGAACCCAAAATTGCGTTATGAAATGATTGGCCCCGAGTTCATTTTGTAAAGAAAGTTGGCTCTTACAAAATGATTCGCCCAGCAAAAAAAACACGCTTTTTACAAAATGGCATGGTTGACCAGAAAAATGTCCTTACAAAATGCCTCCTTTTGTTAGAAAAATGCCCCTGGAATGGAACATGGGTCAAACCATTTCATAGTGGAAATGTACACAGGGATAAAACTTAAACATACCACACACGCACGCACACACACACACGCAACTGTGTAGAACACACACATATATATATAAATAGGCATAGGATATATGTGTGTGTCACTTGCAATATTTCGAGAGCAGCAAACACGGAATTGGATCCACAACAGACTGGAAGACATTCTCTGTTCAATGGCTTCAACCGCCTTGAAAACTATTGAAACTCCAAAGTATATATAGTATATAAAGTATGATCTATCTTAAAGGTGTTGAACACAGATGATCTGGAAAGTGCTGGATTTCCGTGTTCGGCGCCTTCTGGAGCCGTTTGGTGCACCAAGCCAGTAGGCATTGCTCAGTTCCGGCGGGAGAGAAGTCTGGTGATGCAGCCAACTAGTACTGGATCTATATTCATGAAGTGGGGCGCCATGTAAAAAAGGTTTGGAAATGAATGGAACAGAAATTGATGGAACAAATGACTGTTTGAAGCCCAATCTAAGGGGAAATGCCCGTTCGTGGTGGGGAGATTCTCTGTGAATGGACATCACCAAACAATATGTGATCCTAAGACAGCCTGCAATGTTCAAGTCGCAGCAATTACGTTTTACAATTCGTGGGAACCTACCAAAGCCAACCATGTTCTACAAGGTCTTACGTTCAGCAGCTCTAGCACAACGTAACCTCTGTTTTGGAATGTGAGGATTTTCGGATCACCCGCAGTTGCGAAGTGGGACTACGGGTGAACCACATGAGAGCACCCAGAGTAGAGTTGAGTATCTATTTTATCTGGTTGGTGGTTTCAACCCTTCTGAAACATATTAGTCAAATTGGAGTATTATTCCCAATATATGGAAAAATTAAAAATGTTCCAAATCACAAACCAGTATTTTACCCAATCCGCCTGATATTGAACACTCCCCAGAAACCATGGTTTATAGTAGGGGATGAGATCACATAAATGTGACAGTGGAACGGAGGTGTTTAATATTAGGGGGATGGGATTAGATATGTATGTACTGAGGTGAACCCAAAAAAAATAACAAGTAAAAAAACAAAACGGTTCATGACACTGGGTGCGCCCCGAACTTTGGAATACCAAATGGCTGGCTGGCTACTGGGATGGTTTGTCATTCGCTTTGCCACATATTGCAAGACTATGTAACTCCACCGCTCCCAACGGCAGCCGTGCTGACACTGTGGTAGTAGTGCTTGCAAGGCAGTAATTTGGCCACGTCCTCACGTCCAATTTCATCCAAGCCTTAGGTTGTTTCGGCGACACGGCATGGGCACCAAACCGCCCCAAGCAGTGAAGGCCAGCCATTTTCAGATAAAAAAAATGCTACCAGGCATGATCATCCAAACAAGTCGGGGGCCTCCCTAAATAGCTAAGTTGGTTGACAAGTAGATTAAATACAATATGGATTTTTGGCACATTATACATATATATATATACATATATATATATATATATGTATGATATAACATATAAACATGTATACTCAATGGGGTTTAAACAGCAACAAACATAATCTGTTGGGCACCAGCTTGTATTGGAGACATGTGCCAAAATTTATCGCCCAAAAACTTTGCAAAAAAGTTCAATCAACTAGGATGATGTGGGTGAAACATGGTGAAAACTGCTGCTTGCTCCACTGTTAGACAGGGTACGTGTTTCATGTGTATCCTGGGTGGGGGTTGTGTCGTTGTGGGTTTGGAGCCTGAAACTTTTTGGTAGCTTGTTGCGCGTAATTGCCCCAAATTGCACATGGCCGAGTCCCATCGACACACGTTAACACAGATGACTCGTTCTATCTGGAAAGGTAAATGTCTGGAGTACAGGACCACACAATGAACTGAAGCAGCGCCAAACCGAAATTCTCCGGTACCCTTCTCCTGCCAGAGCCCCGGGCAGGGGGTGTTAGCCCTTTATATATGTAAGCAAACATGATTTATCATATCCAACATTCGTGAAACTTTCGCGAACAAACAGGATACTTTCGAGAAATCGAAAAAACCTTTCGCGAGGGATTCGCGAGGGTTCCCAGCATAACATGTACAGTCTTCACAATTAAAACTCTTTATTAAATATATACAAGCACCTTTACATCGATCGATCACATCGTTGATCGGAACATCATCTTTAAGCCTTAAAGCATGAACAATTCCAGCCAGCTACGCTTGAATCCAAGACGCTTTCTCTCTCTATTTTTGCTGGTTAACCCTCAAATGCCGCCAGTCAAACCCAATAACCGTTGTATGATCACTTTTGTGGGTGCAATCTTGCTACCTCAAGGTCCTGCATAGGAAAGGTTCAAGATGGCCCTATTGGATACCCACATTGTTTTTTTTAAACTAATAAGTCAAATTTGGTTTATGGTAGATGTATCTGTAGTATTATAGTCAATTGGGTTCATGTTCAACAAACACCAAAGCGTTTACATGCGTTTACAATATCTATACATACTTGACCATGCCTAAATCTTATGTCGTCAGTTCTTATTGGGGTTGGAGACCAACAAGCAACCAAACATGCTTGCTAGAAAATCATCCATTTACTTCCATGACTTTTCCATTGAACCCCCATTCATAGTCGGTTTGCCCATTTTTCACGTGATTTTCCCAGGATTTCTGCGCAATTTCCCACGTTGGACACCACCGGACGTCCCAGAGACAGACCGGACAGGTGATCTCCTCGTTCCCCGCCACGCGCACATGCGGAAGATGTTCCTCGATGGCCCGAACCATTTTTTGCCTGCCGTGGCTGACCGTCTCTGAGCAATCCCATATGATCCACGTATGGAATATTTACCTACATGACTGGATTATTTTTAGGGTAAATGTTGGTAAATGTACCATACATGGAGCATTTGGGAATGGTTGTGTTTTACATATTTGTGGGTTGCACACTTTGGGCTGCAACCCAGTTATTGTTAACTAGTTACAACCTACAAGTTATAGATCATTTCCAGTTACCATCAAAGACCATTTTTTGGTTGGGAAGTGTTGCAATATAGATAGGTTGACACATGCCACATGCTTATTAATTGTTCTCTTCGTACGCTCCCTGGGATGCACATCCAGCTATAGCTCACAGATGATAGAATCTCTGTGAATCACTATAGCAACACATGCTACCAACTACCAAAACGAACCAACAATTAATCTTGCCTCGTGTTCAACCCCTTCGAGACAACTTGAGCATGAATTTCAGCAGCATCTTTGGTTCCGGATATTTTTGAAGGTGCTGCAAGGTTTCAATGTTCAGGACAGTACCAAGGCATGGCCATGGATACCAGTTGGATGTGCATCATGTACTCTCTGATCATTTTTCATACATGGATCCTATGGACTATCACCATCTTTTCATGTAAATCATGTCAGGATGTACAAAGACAAACCACAAAATCCAGGCCGCAAAGTGTAACAAATTACTCGAAAGTCATGTAGTCATGGCTGCACTGCCTCCTCACTGCCTGGATCCTTGGTCCCCGGCCCCCTCGGAAGTGCCAAGGCACGTCTGTTCCTCTGTGAGCTCGGCGAAGCACGACACGGTGATATTTCCCGAATAACCTGGGGAAATATGTGGAGTGGCAATGGTGATGATGTCCCACCATGTTTCATGCCATGAAAACACCAGCATGTGTTGAATCCAGCCAAAGACAACAATTTTGTTCATGAAAAAACATGTCATGTAAATTACTTTACTTCGAGTTATCCCCACCGTGACATCTATACGTTTTGTTACTGGCAAATCTTCTGGCATTCTATCTGACATATCTTCTGGCATTTTATTTGGCATATCTGCTGGCATTCTATCTGGCATATCTTCTGGCATATCTTCTGGCACTCTATCTGGCACATCTTCTGGTATATCTTCTGACATTCTATCTGGCATTCTATCTGGCAAATCTTCTGGCATATGTTCTGGCAAACATTCTGGCACTTTGTCTGGCATACCTTCTGGCATTCTATCTGGCATATCTTCTGGCATTCTATCTGGCAAACATTCTGGCACTTTATCTGGCATATCTTCTGGCATTCTTTCTGACATTCTATCTGGCGTTCTATCTGGCATATCTTCTGGCATTCTATTATCTGGCCGTTGAAGTCCAGCGGTGCTCACTGAGCTCGGAGGGTCCCAGGTTGAGGTCCAGCGGTGCTCACTGAGCTCGGAGGGTCCCAGGTTGAGGTCCAGCAGTGCTCACTGAGCTCGGACGGTCCCAGGTTGAGGTCCAGCGGTGCTCACTGAGCTCGGAAGATCCCAGGTTGAGGTCCAGCGGTGCCCAGTGCGCTCAGACCCTTGCAGTTGAGGTCCAGCAGTGGCCACTGCGTGCGGAATTTGGCGAAGAGAAAGGTGGTGGAGGAGAACGAGGAGGAGGAGAAGAAGGAGGAGGAGAAGAACAACTCTGATAAAATCTAACAACCCTCACCTGGCAGGTGGGGAATAAACACTTAAACTGTTAACTTAATGCCAACAAATTTATCATAGAACCCACTTTGAGCTCATTTCAGTCCATGCCAAAACTATGGCGACATCTCACCGATATGGACATGCCATCATTGCCGGAATGTGGAGCAACAAGCTGCTACGAATAAACATCTGGTGACAGGGGGCTCCAACATGTAATAAATGTGCACACGTGAAGAAAAACGAAAATGTAGAAATCTGTGGCATACACATGCGTACTCCGAAGCACATCTCGAACAATATTATAAATACGCGTATTCAAACAACCACAAACAAATCGAACAAACAATTCATATTTCTCTCTAACTCTACATATAACTAAATAATGAATAAATACTATGGAAATATACTTACGTAAATATATATATATATACATTAATTGTATTATATTAAATATACTTGACTTCTATGCACATAATTATTTTTCTGCTTCTACATGCCAACGTACAAATTGCAACTTATCGGATGGCCAACCCCATGAACAGAATGGGTTCAATCGTAGTTCAATCCATCAAGAAACGGTAAAGGCGCACCAGTTGGAGGCTACACTTTTAGGGTAAGCTGACTCAAAACCTCGACTGCCAGTCTCTCAATAAGGAACATCATCTTGAAAAGCAGATATGTGGCTTCCTTTTTTGCATTTCAGGCGCTTGGGTTTGACGCTTTGACGGTTTGACCACTGGTCGTGTCATCCCAGCAATAGCTGCAAAAGTGACCATGTTGTAACTCGCACCGTTGCAAGGAGGATCGCTAGACATACACCTGTACTGCTTTTCCCAAATCTCAAGGGACACCGACCTAGTCGAACTGGTCATTAGTGCCCCAGGCCAAGCATGTCTTGCCGGCGCTGTCATGCAGGTGACATTCTCCGCGGCACAGGCGAATAATTCCAGTCACAAGGAATATCATCATCACTGCCTCAGTGGCAACACAAATCTCCCGGTGAAAAGGAAATGGGAATCACAGAATCAAAATGAATCAGAATTGGTTCAAAAAACCTTAGCGAACAGGTTTGAACCGGCAATTTTAGTGACCATCTGTTATCTATGTGGCTTTCAAAATTCATGCTCCTCTATGTTCCCTTACATCAACCAAGTGAAGCTTGCAAAAATGTTTGATGGAGTCTGAGATATCTTGGGTTTTGCAACCATCTACAGCATGCTGCAGGAGAATTGTGCAGAGCCAAACAGGACCTGAAACCGATTTTAAGAAACTGTTGCAAGAAAAACATGCATTGTAGGGTTCCATTGTCTGCTACTCCTCCTCTGATTTAAATCTATATGTCCAAGCGTTTTACCTAGCTGGTGAGGAACCCTGCTCACTGGTGATCATCTTGCTGTGCAAGGAGGTTCTTTAGAGCCGTGACATGTTACTTCTCCCTCCCTCACTTAGAGGACACGTCAAATGATATTTTATAGTTGTTATGAATCTCAGTATTGAAAGACCTTGCTTCACCCGATGACATGTTGGTTTACATAGATGTTAACCCAGTTTTATCCTATGCTCCCACTCATCCCTCGCCGATATATACCAAATAGGGTGGCCGATGCATCAGGTATACATTCTATCGCGGTTTTCCAGAGTCTGTGCATCATACCATCCAGACCTTAACTTGAACTTTATTAAATGCAGTCATGCAGCAAATATGTTTATTACCATTGTTCCTTATTATCATTTCATCCAGTAATACAGTTATACAGTACTACAATGATATACAATGTAATACACATGCGAAATTACCACATTCATATCATCGAAATTTCTCAAATACAACGCCGAAGGAGCCATTACGAAAATGGCGAACGCGATCCTTGGAATGCCGGACTGGCTCGTGACATCTTGTGGCCCCTGCCGTTCCCAGTCACCATGGGGTAGGTGGATGTACCTGCCACATTGTATTGTATGAGAAAATATATGTCTCCCCGTAGTTGGATTAAGCATTTTGCGCAAGAGAAAACAAATTGCCTGGACACATGTTCATCAGGAAGGCTCAGTTTACCCATCCTCCCAGATCTGAGCCCAGGCTTCATAACAGGAAAAATCATGGCTGCGTGACGGATGCAAATTCGCCACAAAGCTGTGTGAGATTTTGCCGTTTGTCTGACACTGTTGCTGCACTGTGAGGTCAAGATTTGGGTTTGCCATCTCTGCTCAAGTATGTTCGAAAGATTCACCCAGGATTTCCTGTAACTATTGCAAAGGAGAGTTTGTCATACGTTGGCGTCAGCTGAAGTGAAATGCATCAAACTGAAGGCAGATCGAATGAAATCGGTAGTGCATGATTCGTGCGATTGATTTAACACTAATGAGTGACTGCTCGAACCAGACAATGGCGGCCGGAGGAAGCAATATTCGTGTGGCAATCATAATCATACTAAGAAAGGACGACAACCAACTAAGCACATGCGCGCCCTAGCTTCACAAGTCCTTGAGATGCCAGAGACCTAATAGCTGCAGCAAAGATGTTTTCCTTAATTGGTTCACGGGAGTCTTGAAAAAATGATCTCACCCTACATCGTACCCAATTGGATATGCAAAATGTTTATGTACGCTTACATTGTTCTGCCCAAGTATTCATACAGTTTGAAACATATCTCAGCTATTCCTTAACTGGATGATGGGACAACTTGCAGGAAACCCTTGAACATGGCGCTAAACATCAGCGGAGTCTGCAAACCCTGTCGGCGTTTGATCTCATCTGGACCAGCCCCAGAACACATTTACATGTCCCATCCATGATAATCTTCTCCTGGTTGGGATTCCCTCTGGAAATTTACCATCTCTGTGGATGTGGAAATGGCCAATTTGCAGGTTCTTTAATTCTTCACCTATTAAAATAGGAATTCTGCTAGCTTAAAATACTGCCAGACAGCCAAAATTGGCATTTTTTTTTGGTGGGATCATGGGATCTAAAAACACCACCTGGCACTGCGCCTGCAACAAGGGGAACGTCGCCTAGAAACGACAAGCACGTGCAGAGTCAGGAAAGGAACCGGACGAGGAGCAAACATATTCTTAGCCAACAACAATGGCGGCCTACATTCTGAAATCATCACGTAAATAATGCCGCATAATTGGAAAATCCTGGGGCTTCGTAACTGGTTGATAACCTTGGCTAGTAAATCCCCCTAATGGTATTATTCCTATTTAAAAATGGGTTCAGAGTATGGTCACACACGGGTACTAACCAATAAGTGAAGGAGATGATCCTCTTAGTATTTACGCGAATGCGGATCAGAACCACCACTAGCAGGCAAGTTTTAGTTGTGCCCGCAGTATGCGTGCCCCTTCACTTGGGCTGCTGCATTCAAAGAAATGAACAATTGTGATACCTTGCGTATCTAATTATATCTATGTCATATGCATTCCTTGAATGCATCGATCTATTCGTATATACAGTATTTACACATGACATGTAGATGTCCATATTTAGGTAGGTATATTTTCATATTTATAATATATATATATTGTTCATATATTTGTGCATGTATTTGTATATGTTTAAATATATATATATATTTATTATTTATAATAACTTCCACAAAAAAAAACGTTCAAACAGTAAGACTGATCAAGGATTTTTCGCAATCTTTTTGAAGGGTACTCTCAATACGTTTGCCAAGGCACAAAGGTATCTGGAAAAGGCCACAGCGGTGGGCCACACCTGAGGTGCCCAAGGCCGGCTATGTGAGAAATAAATCATGACATACTTACACAATGAATTATCTCGTGTTTCTGGGGCTAAATCTATATATCTAAATATCTATATCTACATACATATATATAATATCTGGGCAAGGTACGCGTACAAATGTAGACACATTCCCATGCATATGCTACAGTGCAGTGTAAACACATACTGTGGACACATATTATCCCTCTCTCTATCTATGTCTTTAGTATGGGGCCAGGGCCGAAATAACCTTCCTCCAAAAAATGGTGGCACATGCTACATGTAGTCAAGTAGAATGATCTCAGGTCGGATGGGACAAAAAATGGAAGCCACAATCCAGATCATCCAGTTGTATAAGATTCGATCTGTGGAACATTCTAAATTAAACACACCCAAATCTAACGTGTTGTATATATAATAAATATATATATATATAAATAAATCACACATATATATATATATATATACATATAGATGATCCGTATACCTGCTTTCGGCTTTCGCTGCGCCATTCTTGGCATTCAACCAAACATTGTTTCCGAGGAAGGTAATCATTTTGACCTGTACCGCCTGTATACCTACATTGTTGCCTTCATGCCCATTCTATGATGCCATGCAACACTTGTTCTTGTAGCTGCTTAGTGCATACCCATCCATTTGTACTATTGGTAGCAAATGGCTGGACTATGAATCACCCATCCATTTTTGCGTTTCCCCAAAGATCACGTTGGTGGCGTTTTCGTTACACCACCGGTGTCGTGTGGACCCCCCGCCACTTCTTCCGAGTGACCAAATCCCCAGTGATATCGCCTTGGACGCCAGGGCGGGCGGCCCGCCGCTGGTTCACCTGCCAGACATCAACCATCGCTCATCCATCAGAGCTCATGCCCTGTGGTAAACCAATATAACTATGGAAATGGGTAAATCAACTATTTCTATGGACATGTTCAATAGCTATTTTAGTTTACCAGAGGGTATCGCTCTTAATGTGGTAAACCCAAGAATAAACCATTTCTTAAACTAATTGAAACTACTGGTATATAATCATGTGGGGGTAATTCTATGTAATTTTTACATCATCCCAGGCATAGGGGTATAATCATGCCCCCGATTGGGGAGAATCAACTTCCCCTGGGCCGGAGCCCTGCAACCAGCTTCCGAAGCTAGCTCTTTCGGCAAGGCGGATTCATCCCTTGATCGAAAATCAAAGATTCGTAGCCAGCAAAACAAAAACAAATCAAGAATCAAGACTGTTAACGTGTTTTCCCCATTTTTAGTTGTAAATATTCTGCACATCAAAGCATATGTTTCACCTAGCCTTCACCTGTCGACCCAGGACTTTCCCAGAGTTTTCCAAGCCTCAAGCTTGATATCCTTGTGGGAAAATTGGAAGGGGATGGTCTCCTCCAGAGGATGGACGAGGTCGGTACACTTGCCCTGGCTGGGGGGATCCCAAATCTGGCCGAAACCATTGACTTACTTGCGGGCGGACATGCCCTTCTTGGTTGGAAAAAAAATATGCACTTACCAACTCACATGCTTAACAAAAATTGTTGGTATTTGGGGTGAATACATAAGTCAATGTACATGGAGCAGTCATACGCATCTCTTGGCTGAGGCATGTTTAACCAAAAAACATACTTCGGTCCATCTCTACTGAGTTGAGACCTCGCTTTTGTTGCTCCAAACCAATTGGCTCTTGCAGGAAGTAACATCTTTCTTGGCCTGGTTAGAACGTGTTGCAACAACATAAACCGTGGTTTAAACTGAGCATCTTGTTTGGTTCCAACACGGTTCTTACTTCAGCCCCTAATTTTTCTGGAGACCACCCACGCCCTGGCTGCCGAGCCCTGCCTCTTCTTGCAGAGTTTCGGCGGTGTCCAGCAAGGTGACTTGGCCAGACATTCCCGTGTTGCCTGAGAAATCCGAGCGGTGGCCAGATCTTTGATGTGCTCAAGGGACTCCAAAGAAACACATTACTTTACTTCGAGTGATCCCCACTGTGACAGATTATGTTGTCATAGTTTCTGACATCTCATGTGGAAGCATACGTTCTGACATTCTAGTCTGGCATTCTATCTGACTTTCAATTCTGACATTCTTTACTGACATTCTATCCTGCTTCTGGGCATTCATTCTGACGTTCTTTTCTGGCATTCTATCCAGCATCTATTCTGACATTCTCTCTGACATTGGGCACTGCCGGACCTCCGCGAGCGCCAGATCCCAGTACTAACATACCAATCAAACATCCCCATGGCCGCTGCCTCCACCGCCCCAGAAGTGCCAGAGTTCCGAGGCATCGCTTGGGGGTGGCTCCACCTGCCGCTGCGAGACACACGAGTCGGATCTGTGCTTTATAATCCATATAGAACCCACATAATCACAAATATCAATAATGATATTTCATGTATATTGAACACACACACACACACACATATATATATATCATATATATATATAATTGTTTTTTTCTCACCCGTGTACTAAGTGGGATGCACCCCCAAGTAATCACACCCAGCATGCAATGTAATAATATTAGGATAAGGGAATTTTACGAAAAAACGCGCGGATTTTGAGCAACAATCATGTGTGGCTGTATTCCCAAATGCCCTTCAAACATTTTTGTTGGCACGGATATTGCACCCTCCAGCAGACCAAAATAGATGTGGTAAACTGCTTGTATTCCAGAGAAAATGACCTACCAACGGCGGAGTGTCCATATCCATGTTGGTTTGCTGGGCGGTATACCTTCAAACATGTATGTTACCTGGACAGTGTTCACAATATATTTCAAAACATATCAAATTAAAATGTACGAACACCAAAAATACGTACACATGCGCGCATACATTTTCAAAATCAAATAAATGTGTGTATATATGTTCATATGTATGTGTATATATATATATATTGAACTAATATGCATATACAGTAGCCACCAAAAAGATAGAACTGTGATTTACCACTATTTTAAAACGATTTTCTCTATCTATTGCCGCAAGCGCCTCTTTCGACAGCTCCAGGCCGGCCAGTTGCAAGGACGACTGTAACGGCAAGACATCAACGCCATCTGCAGCAAGGGTACTGGGGGAAAAGGAAAAACAAGTGGTTCATAAAGATTCATAATATTGGTATCAAATGGATTATCATATGGCTAAAACATATAATGTAACAAATATGGGTATCATTTTCGGGAACCAAAACTGATTAATAATATGGGTATCACATGGGTATAACCACTATGGAAGTTTCTTCAAATTGGGGCACCCGGGTGCAAAAAAAAAATAGTGGCTTCACCATCAAACCTATTAGCCACTGCTTAACCATCATTTTCACTATGCAACTTGATGCAACATGGGGATATGATGTAGTTTCAGACACACCTAAGATGAGTATGTAAGC